AACGTTTCAGGGTTTCGAAGTCAAACTTTTAGTGCTAGATATCTCCATTTTCAGAGTTTATATTTAGAAAGATGTTACATCCTTTTCCCTGGCAATTTGATAACCAATAACTGCATTGTCATTGACATCATTGTCAGATGCACTTAAAGACAATATCGATGCTCCTGCTACATTATTTTCTCGCAGGTAAAACTCTAATGGATTTTGGGAGAAATGTGGTCTATTGTCATTTACATCTGATATCTGAACACTCAGTGTTTTCAATGTAGATAAGGGAGGTTCACCACAATCAGTGGCTGTTATTATTATTTCATAGTTTGACACCTCCTCTCGATCTAGAATCCTCTTGGTAACAACTGAATATATGTTTTCCTTATAAGACGGCTTTAATTCAAACGGCACTCCTTCTGTTATACGTAAAAGTATCTTTCCGTTGACACTGTAGTCTTTGTCCGTTACACTAATGAGTGAAATAACTGTGCCACGCTTTGAGTCTTCAGAGATTGTATTTGACAGTGACGTTACTTCTATTTCTGGTGGGTTGTCGTTGACATCTTTTATCTTTACAATGACTTTACACCTGCTCGTTAATGGAGGTGTACCTTTGTCAGATGCCTGTATATCTAATTTAAAAATTTCCAATTCCTCAAAATCCACAACTCCTTTTAATTTTACTTCCCCAGTTAAATGATCTAACTCAAATATATCATAAACTTCACGTGCTAGTGTTCTGCTAAGGCTGTATTCTACTTCTCCATTAGTCCCTTCATCTGCATCAAGGGCATTCACTTTTGCTACAGTGGTACCAACTGGGAGGTTTTCATATATTTCTATTTGGTAAGTATCTTGACTAAATATGGGAGGATTATCATTAATATCAACAACATTGATAGAAATATTTAGTGAGCCTGATCTTTGGGGTTTACCACCATCAACTGCTGTTAGAAATAGCGAGTGGTTGGTCTTTTGTTCTCTGTCCAATGCATTCTTCAGCACCAGGAATGGTATTTTATCATCATCATCACTTTGAATAATTTCTATTTCAAAGTGATCATTTGAAGTTAATGTATATGCACGGATTGTGTTTTTTCCCGCATCCGGATCACGTGCCGAGTGTAGTTCAAATCGTGTTCCCGGAGATGTATGTTCCGCTATCTCAAATTGCTGTTCCTTTTCAGAAAAAGTAGGGGAGTGGTCATTTACATCATTAATTTCTACAACGACGTGGTGCATTTCTAAAGGGTCTTCAACAAGGATTTTCAGCTCAATTGAGCACACACCGTTACCGCGACACAGCTCCTCTCTGTCAATTTTCTTACGGACCAGCAAGGCACCACTGTCCGGGTTTACTTCAAAAAAAGCGTCCTTAGATCCAGAAACAACTCGAAATCGTCTGTCAATCAAAGAGGTTTTGTCCAAGCCAAGATCTTTAGCAACACTTCCAACAACAGTACCTTCTTGCATCTCTTCTGGAATGGAGTACCTTAATTCAGCCAAGGTCTGATTTGCCCGAAAAAGCAGTACGAAAAAAGGAAAAACAATCCAACAACAGTCCCCTGATCGATATTGTCTTGCACTCCACATAGTTATCAACGAACACATATGCACAGGGGAGTAGGTTTCTGCCAAAGATCCAACGTGTATCCGATCGTTTTAAAGTCGCATTTAACGCACGAAGCCGTCTCATCAAACTCGCCTCGTTAGAACCGTTAGCGTAATGTGAGGTACCAGACAAAAGCTTTGTTAGGGGAGGGACTGGGTCCATATATGGCACTATTGATGTAACAGTGACACCAAGGGGGGGACATCTGACACAATTCAAAGTCATTGAAAATAAACATTGGGTTATTTTAATAATAATAATAATGATGACAATAATAATGACAATAATAATATTTTTGATCAGAATATCAGTTCCGGTGATCTCACTGCTGTAGTCGCGATTCATGTGAAAAAGCAGCATGACTGCAAACGTTTAATGCCATAGCAAGTATATATTTAATATTCTTGGGGCTACTTGCAGGTGTTTTGTTTCAACCCCGTTTAAGTCGTCAAAATATATTGTAGATTATATATAAATATGTGAACTGCTACACAACCGTGTAGACAGACAATTCACTGCTATTTTGTATGTTTAATCAAACATACTGTATATATTTATAAAAACGAGAGGAAACCATAAGACATAAGCCTCGTAATTTCACATATGGATTCATTAATGTGCAACTCCAAGATGAGAAGTTTCAAGACAAAAAAGTGACACAGTGAGAAGCTTTGGCAAACACAAGCAGGAAGCGGATTCCAAAATTGTAGTAAGCTGACAAGCTCACCCGTTCTTTTGAATACAGAAGTACCGATGCTAAAGCTTAATGTCTTACCTCTCCATGTGTCCTCCTGTCAGGGAGCATCAGTGTATTCGCATGGCTTCCCGGGACTATAGTAGATCCTATACTCATTCTGGGTCCAACTAACATGTAGCGTTTCTCTCCAGATCTGTACTGGATGCTGTGACACAGTGTCCCGTCGTAATTAGTCTCTTGGAGATATTTAGAAGTATACTCTGTGGATTTAGAGCACTGCATTGCAATCAGCACGATGATACTGATGAGAAAAAGTGTTGAAACTGAGCCCAAAGTTATCATCAGGTAAAAAGTCACGTTATTATCCGCCTCGTCATCTGTTGCACTTTTAACATCCGAAGCAGCAAAAGCCTCTTTGGGCTCCACAACTTTGACAATCACAGTAGCTGTTGCTGAGAGTGAAACGTTCCCGTTGTCTTTCACCAGAATGACCAGTTTATGCTCAGCCTCGTCCGTCTCTGTGAACGAGCGAAGTGTTCTGATCTGTCCTGTATAGCGGTCCAACCCAAAGAGACTGTGGTCAGTAACTTCCTGCAGTGAAAACAGTAACCAGCCGTTATATCCTATATCAGCGTCATAGGCTCTGACTTTAGTCACCAAGTGTCCTGCGTTCACATTGCGGGGAATCTCCTCCACACCTTCAGCAGAACCGTTGGAGCTGAGAGGATACAAGATGACCGGAGCGTTGTCGTTCTGATCCAGAATGAACACGTGCACCGTGACGTTGCTGCTCAGTGTCGGAGTCCCAGAATCTGTGGCGACAACTTGAAACTGGAACGTTTTCAGGGTTTCAAAGTCAAAACTTTTTAGTGCCGAAATATTACCATTCTCACTATTTATGTTGAGAAATGAAGTTACTTGATTATCTATTCTTTTATCTCTGAGAATATGATAGGATATAAGAGCATTGTCATTCTCATCACGATCAAAAGCTGTAACAGAAAACAAAGGGCTACCTGGCTCATTAGCTTCCCTGACATAGAACGTATAAGGACTGATTGAAAATTCTGGAATGTTGTCATTCACATCTCTAACAACAACGCTTATTGTCTTTTCAGAGGATAACGGAGGTTGTCCAGCGTCTTTAGCAATAATTGTTAAATCATAATGTGACTGTGTCTCTCTGTTAACAAGAGACTTTGTTACTAAAGCATACATTTTGTCTTGTAAAGATGGTGACAAAGTAAATGGTACCTCTTCTTTCATGGAACAAGTTACCTTTCCATTTAGACCAGAGTCCCAGTCATTTACACTAATAAGTGCAACGGTAGTTCCAGGTCTGGAATCTTCAGGGATGGAGTTTGAAAAAGAAGTAACTTCAATCTCAGGCGCGTTGTCATTCACGTCAACTATCTTGATAATGACACTTTTTTGTGTAGCCAGTGGAGCCAGGCCTTTATCTGATGCTTGAATTTCAATCTCATATTTGTTCTTTTCTTCATAGTCTATTGCATCTTTTACAATGATTTCCCCCGTTGATGGATTAATATCAAAGAGGCGTAACAATCTACGACTCACACTGTTGCTGAATGAATAAACTACATCTCCGTTTTGTCCTTCATCTAAATCAGTTGCATTTAATTGCAAGACTATTGCTCCTACTGGGGCATTTTCATCAAGCATCACAGAGTAAATGTCTTGAGTAAAAACAGGTGCGTTATCATTGACGTCCAAAACATTTACCAGAATACTCATGTCGCCAGATTTGGGAGGTTTTCCTCCATCCAGTGCGGTTAGGACTAATGAGTGGTGTCCTTCTGATTCCCTATCCAAAGGCTTTTGAACAGTCAATATTGGTATTTTACCATCTTCTCCCTTGTCCTTAATTTCCAAACGAAAGTGGTCGTTGGAGCTGAGTGTATAATGTTGAACAGCGAAAAGACCGCCGTCGGGATCTCGCGCTGCTTGTAGCGGGATACGTGCTCCGGGCAAAACAGATTCGGAAATCTCCAGCGTTTTTTCTTCGTCTAGAAATCTTGGAGAATGGTCATTTATATCGAGAATTTCTACTCCGACGTAATGCACCTCCAATGGATTTTCTAGCACAGTTTTGAGATTTATCAAACAGGTAGAGCTTCTTTCGCACACCTCTTCCCTGTCGATCTTTCTGCTCACATACAGAATGCCGTCATTCTGATTCACATGAAAAAGGGGTTCCGTAGTACTAGAAACAATCCGGTACGTCCTGTCTATCAACGTACCTTTATCTAACCCCAAATCCTTTGCAATGTTTCCAACCACAGTTCCTTCGTTAACTTCTTCAGAGATTGAATAGCGTATTTGCGCTGTGGCCACGGTCCACAAAAGCGCAGCAACCACGCAGCCTACCCACTCTCTTCTTGCCCTTGTTGCGTTGCGTCCTCTTTTTTCCATGATTCCAAAAAAACACTTCAGGATTCCTCACAGGAGAGAATAACCCTGCTGTAAGCAACTGATCCAAAACATCAAAGAACGTGAAATCGCCCTTATTGAGTTGAAAATGAATAAACACAAACGAATAAAGACGGCAGCAGGCAGCCAAGAAATTCTGCCTTCGTCGAGAGCGCAAGAAATGGGTGGAACCAAAAATCAAGTTAAAGCCGTTATTCTGCTAACACACTGACACCGTGTGATTTCATTTCTTACTGCAAGAAAATAATAAATATAAATATAGGACGTTGCCATTGACGATGTAACATGTTTAAATGGCCAATGACAACGTATTATGTTCATACTGTGTTCCTATGTGTTGAGATTGCCTTTTAAAGAGCAAATACAAAATTTAAATAGCTCTTGAATTGAGGAGGACACATCCACCCAAATGTTTGAAGCTCACAACTATTTCAAATACTGTTGAAACGTTAAAAGTGTGTGAATTGCCTTTAACAGATTATTGGTTTGACTTGTTTTTTAACAAGGTATTGTAACTGCAAATTAGGGCAGAAAATGTCAGTCCTATGGACAGCGACCGACAGGTTATGAAAGCAACCAAAAACTCATGAATGAAATTATATCCAATTTGCCATGAATGAAAGCTGTTTCAAGTTGAGGTGTCCTACTCAGAACTATACAACATGCAATGAATAGATGTATCATATATGTTGATACAACACTTCCTGTAGAATAAAGCCAAGCTTTTCACCAAATATGTCTTACCTCTCCAGATGTCTGTCTCCTATCTGGTAGCATCAGTGTGTTTGCATGGCTTCCCGGTACTATAGTAGATCCTAAACTCATTCTGGGTCCAACCAACATGTAGCGTTTCTCTCCAGATCTGTACTGGATGCTGTGACACAGTGTCCCGTCATAATTAGTCTCTTGTAGATATTTAGAAGTATACTCTGTGGATTTAGAGCACTGCATTGCAATCAGCACGATGATACTGATGAGAAAAAGTGTTGAAACTGAGCCCAAAGTTATCATCAGGTAAAAAGTCACGTTATTCTCCTCCTCGTCATTTGTTGCACTTTTAACATCAGAAGCAGCAAAAGCCTCTTTGGGCTCCACAACTTTGACAATCACAGTAGCTGTTGCTGAGAGTGAAACGTTCCCGTTGTCTTTCACCAGTATGACCAGTTTATGCTCAGCCTCGTCCGTCTCTGTGAACGAGCGAAGTGTTCTGATATGTCCTGTATAGCGGTCCAACCCAAAGAGACTGTGGTCAGTAACTTCCTGCAGTGAAAACAGTAACCAGCCGTTATATCCTATATCAGCGTCATAGGCTCTGACTTTAGTCACCAAGTGTCCTGCGTTCACATTGCGGGGAATCTCCTCCACACCTTCAGCAGAACCGTTAGAGCTGAGTGGATACAAGATGATCGGAGCGTTGTCGTTCTGATCCAGAATGAACACGTGCACCGTGACGTTGCTGCTCAGTGACGGAGTCCCAGAATCTGTGGCGACAACTTGGAACTGGAACGTTTTCAGGGTTTCAAAGTCAAAACTTTTTAGAGCTAAGATATCTCCATTTTGTGCATCGATGTTGAGAAATGAAGTGACTTTGTCATTTTCACTTCCATCTCTGAGGATATGATAAGATATAAGAGCATTATCTGTCTCATCACGATCAAAAGCACTAACAGAAAACAGGGAGGCACCTGGCTCATTAGCTTCAGGGACATAAAAAGTATAGGGACTCAGTGAAAATTTTGGACTGTTGTCATTAACATCTGACACCCTGACGCTTATTGTCTTTTCAAATGATAATGCAGGTTGTCCAGCGTCTTTAGCAGTAATTGTCAAATCATAATGTGACTGTTTCTCTCGGTCCAGAGGGGACTTTGTGACCAATGAATACATTTTGTCTTCTAAAGATGGTGATAAAGCAAATGGACTAACCCCACCTATTGAGCAAATTACTTGTCCATTGAGACCAGAGTCCAAATCATTTACACTGATAAGGGCTACTGTAGTTCCAGGTCTGGAATCTTCAGGAATTGAACTTGAAAATGAGGTAACTTCAATTACTGGTGTGTTGTCATTCAGGTCAACTATTTTAATTATGACGCTTTTCTCTGTAGTTAGCGGAGCCCAACCTTTATCTGATGCTTCAATTTCGATTTCATACTTCTCTCTTTTCTCATAATCTATCAGACCTTTAACACAGATCTCACCTGTTGCTGTATTAATATCAAAAAGTGTAAATAGTTCATTACTCACACTGTTACCAAATGAGTAATACACTTCCCCATTTTTACCTTCATCTAAATCAGTTGCATTTACCTGTACTACTGTTGTGCCTATTGGAGCATTTTCAGAAAGCGTAACAGAATAAACGTCTTTAGAGAAAATAGGTGTGTTGTCATTCACATCCAAAACGTTCACTACAATAGTCATATTACCAGTTTTCGGAGGTTTACCTCCATCCAGTGCAGTCAGCACTAATGATTCAGTTCCTGCTGCTTCCCTATCTAACGATTTATGCAAAACCAAAATTGGTATTTTACCGTCTGCTCCTTTATCCCTAACTTCCAAACGGAAATGATCATTTTGACTGAGTTTGTATTGCTGCACTGAAAAATGACCACTGTCTTGATCTCGGGAGGGTTTCAGCTGAAACCGAGCGCCTGGTAACACAGACTCCGAAATTTCCAAACGTTTCTCTTTCTCCGTAAAACTGGGAGAGTGGTCGTTTATATCCAGCACCTCCACTACAACATAATGCACCTCAAGAGGATTTTCTAGTACCGTTTTCAGATTTATTAAACACGCACTGCTCTGAGCGCAAACCTCTTCTCTGTCAATGTTTCGGCTGACATACAGGACACCATCATCGGGATTCACGTGGAAAAGAGGATCTACATTACTAGAAACAATCCGATACTTTCTGGTTTTCAACGTGCTTTTATCCAAACCCAGGTCCTTCGCTATATTTCCAACCACAGTTCCGTCGTTTACTTCCTCAGAGATGGAATATCGTATTTGCGCCGAAGCCACGTTCCACAAAAGCACAGCAACCGCGCAGCCGACAAAAAATCCTCTTGCCCTTCGTTCCTCGTAGCGTCTTTGTTCCATGGTTGTTTCCGAAATCACCAGTAGTCTGTCACCAAAACATTAAGAGTTTCATAGTGACGGAATTAAACTCTTCAAGGTTTGAAAATATTCATTGTCGTATTACAACGACGGACACGAGGGAAGTATTTCCAAAGGCAGCCGTCAACTGATAAACGATCCGTTTCATATCCAGCTAAAGAATTCACAAGGGGTGGATCCAAAATGCGCAGATTTGATCCTGCAATCCAGACTCTTCCTGTACACTGACACCATGCGATCTAAATTCTCACTACAAAAAATGTAAAGCCAATAGAACTGTATTTTAATGATCGATAGTTTTTGTAGAACATACAGTAGAATGACTACTGAGCACAACGTGAATTGTTGCTATCTCTAAACACGAAACCTGCTCCTAAAAAAGTAGAAAGCAAACATTTTCAAAAATCTAGAGCGCAAGCTTCCATGGTGACATTTGTTTAGTTTATTTGATAAAGTTTAATGAAATAAAACCATCGACCACTTTTATCCAGAAACAGTTGTGCATAAAACTTGGATTTTGTAAAAAACTACACATGGTGAGACTGATTCATGAATCAGTTTCGCAATGCAAACATAGGAGTAGGCAACGAGTCCAATGTTCGAAAAAAATAGCAGGGAACCAGGAAGAAGTGATGGCCACTAGCGGGACAAGTATTCATATTCTACTACAAACTATCTTCAAAAGCACGAATCAGATCAATTTACAATAATTATTAAGTCATAGCAAACTTTCTCTCAAAACTATACCGTAATAAAAATATTTCCAATATCTTGCATTATTGGTGTACACATGGAAATGAAAAGGCAAAAGTTTGCAAATAATGTTTGTTGAATAATACTCTAATATCAACACTTACATTTCTTTAAAAGGCATACTGCCGAAATAATTCATTTGACTTTATTTGCACGGGAAAATAAATGTCTAAACATGTCTTACCTCTCCATGTGTCCTCCTGTCAGGGAGCATCAGTGTATTCGCATGGCTGCCCGGGACTATAGTAGATCCTATACTCATTCTCGGTCCAACTAACATGTAGCGTTTCTCTCCAGATCTGTACTGGATGCTGTGACACAGTGTCCCGTCATAATTAGTCTCTTGTAGATATTTAGAAGTATACTCTGTGGATTTAGAGCACTGCATTGCAATCAGCACGATGATACTGATGAGAAAAAGTGTTGAAACTGAGCCCAAAGTTATCATCAGGTAAAAAGTCACGTTATTCTCCTCCTCGTCATCTGTTGTACTTTTAACATCCGAAGAAGCAAAAGCCTCTTTGGGCTCCACAACTTTGACAATCACAGTAGCTGTTGCTGAGAGTGAAACGTTCCCGTTGTCTTTCACCAGTATGACCAGTTTATGCTCAGCCTCGTCCGTCTCTGTGAACGAGCGAAGTGTTCTGATCTGTCCTGTATAGCGGTCCAACCCAAAGAGACTGTGGTCAGTAACTTCCTGCAGTGAAAACAGTAACCAGCCGTTATATCCTATATCAGCGTCATAGGCTCTGACTTTAGTCACCAAGTGTCCTGCGTTCACATTGCGGGGAATCTCCTCCACACCTTCAGCAGAACCGTTAGAGCTGAGAGGATACAAGATGATCGGAGCGTTGTCGTTCTGATCCAGAATGAACACGTGCACCGTGACGTTGCTGCTCAGTGACGGAGTCCCAGAATCTGTGGCGACAACTTGGAACTGGAACGTTTTAAATGTTTCAAAGTCAAAGCTTTTAAGAGCCAAAATATCTCCATTTTCAGAGTTGATGCTCAAAAACAGACCTAAATTATCTCTACTGCTGTCCCTTGGGATATGATATGAAATTTGCGCATTGTCACTATCGTCAAGGTCAGATGCACTCACTTTAAATACTGGTGCTACTGGGTTATTGTTTTCAGTTATATATAACGTATATGGGCTCAGTGTAAACTGAGGTCTGTTGTCGTTTACGTCTGATACAACAACATTTATTTTTTTTTCAGATGAGAACGACGGTTCACCACCATCTTTTGCAATGATTGTCATGTCATAAATGTGTTTTTCTTCTCTGTCCAGTGGTGATTTCGTCACTATCGCGTACATATTTTCTTGCATGGATGGAGAAATAGAAAAAGGGACATTCTCACGTATTAAGCAGGAAACCTGCCCATTGGGGCCTGAATCCAAATCATGAACACTGATTAAAGCCACAGTTGTTCCAATTCTAGAATCTTCAAGAACTGATTTGGAAAATGAAGTAATTTCAATCTCTGGGGGATTATCATTAAGGTCAATAACCTTGATTATCACAGTTCTGTCTGTGGATAAAGGGACAGTTCCCTTATCTGAAACTTGAATGTCAATTATAAAACTTTCCTCTAATTCAAAATCTATCAGATCTTGAACAATAATTTCACCTGTATTTGCATCCGCACGAAAAATGTCACGTATTCTACTGTTCACATTCTTTCCTAATGAATACACAATCAGTCCATTGGATCCTTCATCTAAATCCGAAGCATTTACTTTTATAATAGTTGTACCAATAGGAGCATTTTCTTCCAAAAGTAATGAGTAGGTTTCTTGGTCAAAAACTGGAAAATTGTCATTAACGTCTAACACGTCGACCGTAATTTCAGCTGTTCCAGATTTACATGGTTTCCCTCCATCAAGAGCTGTGAGAAGCAACGTATGACTCTTCTTTGTTTCTCTATCTAGCGTCTTGAGTAAAACTAATACAGGTATCTTCCCATCTTTTCCACGATCTTTGACTTCCAAACGAAAATGATCATTATGATTTAGTTTATACTCCTGTACCGAAAACTGACCAACATCCGGGTCCTGTGCCGCTTGCAGCTGGAGACGCAAACCTGGTAAAACCGACTCGGAAATTTCGAGACGTGAGTCTTTCGTTGAGAAGGTGGGAGAGTGGTCGTTCACATCCAGCACCTCAACGGTCACATAATGAATTTCAAGAGGGTTTTCCAGCACAGTCTTTAAATTGATCAAACAAACATTGCCTCGCTCACAAACCTTCTCTCTGTCGATTATTCGATCAACATACAGTATTCCGTCGTCCTGGTTCACGTGAAAAAATGACTCTTTTGAACTCTCAACAATACGGCATCCTCTCTCTTTCAAAGTGCTCGTATCTAATCCCAAATCCTTCGCTATATTCCCGACAACCGCTCCTGCTTCGATTTCCTCAGCGATGGAGTATCTTAGTTGCGCTGAAGCTCTGCTCCAAACCAAAAAAATCAAAACAATAAAAGCAGTCGGCCGACATTTCCCTCGTGATGTTCCAAGTCGAATATGCTCCATAACCAAAAGATACGAATGCATCCCGATGAGTCAGAATATTGTTGTCTTCAAGACAAGAAACGTAGATCGACTAAAAATAATGTTTAAGACTTTCAAGATTATTAAATGCACGGATTCTGAATATTCGCCGTGGGAGAACAAGGCGCCCCTACCACTGAAATGTAAAATAACATCCCACCAAGGGGGAGGAATCGTGTCTCTGACAAAAGGATTCTCGTGAAAATATTTTCTGCTCATATACTGACACCCAGTGCTCGCTTTGCACTGATGACGTTTCTCCACAAAACACAAGCGACCGTTTGACCGTTTTTGGACCATAACTCGTTATTTCATAACAATTTATGCATGAATACCCATAAGTTATACATTTGTAAAGCATAATGGCAAAAAATCTCGTTTCACCGTAGCGGATAGTAACATTATAAAGACAAGGCATTACTCAAGAAACACCTTTGATAGCTTAACATAACATGGTGGCGTGTGCTACTTATAACGCCACTCAACTATAGCAAATTGTAAATTGGCTTATTTGAGGAAATTGCACTTTCTTGTTTCTTGTTCTTCTGAGTTTGTACCCTATGGTTGAATGCACTTATTGTAAGTCGCTTTGGATAAAAGCGTCAGCTAAATGACATGTGATGTAATGTAATGTAATGCTATGACCAATTGAGCCACACAGCTCATGAAAAGAGGGGCAATATTAAACAAGATAAATACAATAAAAGTTTTGGCCTGGTAGACCTGCTTACCTCTCCATGTGTCCTCCTGTCAGGGAGCATCAGTGTATTCGCATGGCTTCCCGGGACTATAGTAGATCCTATACTCATTCTGGGTCCAACTAACATGTAGCGTTTCTCTCCAGATCTGTACTGGATGCTGTGACACAGTGTCCCGTCATAATTAGTCTCTTGTAGATATTTAGAAGTATACTCTGTGGATTTAGAGCACTGCATTGCAATCAGCACGATGATACTGATGAGAAAAAGTGTTGAAACTGAGCCCAAAGTTATCATCAGGTAAAAAGTCACGTTATTATCGTCCTCGTCACTTGTTGCACTTTTAACATCCGAAGCAGCAAAAGCCTCTTTGGGCTCCACAACTTTGACAATCACAGTAGCTGTTGCTGAGAGTGAAACGTTCCCGTTGTCTTTCACCAGTATGACCAGTTTATGCTCAGCCTCGTCCGTCTCTGTGAACGAGCGAAGTGTTCTGATCTGTCCTGTATAGCGGTCCAACCCAAAGAGACTGTGGTCAGTAACTTCCTGCAGTGAAAACAGTAACCAGCCGTTATATCCTATATCAGCGTCATAGGCTCTGACTTTAGTCACCAAGTGTCCTGCGTTCACATTGCGGGGAATCTCCTCCACACCTTCAACAGAACCGTTAGAGCTGAGAGGATACAAGATGATCGGAGCGTTGTCGTTCTGATCCAGAATGAACACGTGCACCGTGACGTTGCTGCTCAGTGACGGAGTCCCAGAATCTGTGGCGACAACTTGAAAATGGAATGTTTTCAGGGTTTCAAAGTCAAAACTTTTAAGGGCCAAAATATCTCCATTTTCAGAGTTGATGTTGAGAAATGAAGCGACTTTGTTTTTTTCACTTCCATTTCTGAGAATATGATAAGATATAAGAGCATTCTCTGTCTCATCATGGTCAAAAGCTTTAACAGCAAACAAAGAGGTCCCTGGATCATTAGCTTCAGAAACATAGAAAATATAGGGACTAATTAAAAAGTCTGGACTGTTGTCATTCACATCGGAAACCACAATATGGATTTTCTTTGCAGAAGATACTGGAGGTTGACCAGCATCTTTTGCTACTATTATTACCTCATAGTTGTCCCTTTTCTCTCTGTCCAGGAGTGATTTGGTTACTAGTGAGTACATTTTGTCATTTAATGATGGCGTTAAAGTGAATGGAACATCCTCATTTACAGAGCAAACCACTTTTCCATTTAGACCAGAGTCTAAGTCATTTACACTAATGAGTGCAACTGTAGTTCCAGGTCTCGAATCTTCAGGGATTGAACTTGAAAATGAAGTTACTTCAATTTCAGGTGCGTTATCATTAATGTCAACTATCTTAATAATCACGCTTTTGTCTGTTTTAAAAGGAGCTAGTCCTTTATCTGATGCCTCAATTTCAATTTCATATCTGTCCTTCTCTTCATAATCTATGAAACCTTTAACAGTTAGTACGCCTGATGAAGGATTGATAGCAAATAGATTCAATATATTTTGATTCATACTGTTGCTAAAGGAGTAAACGACATCTCCGTTTGGACCTTCATCTAAATCAGTTGCATTCACTTGCACAACTGTTGTTCCCATTGGAGCATTTTCATTGAGTACCACAGAATAAACATCTTTAGAGAAAACCGGTGCGTTATCATTTACATCTAAAACATTCACTGTTATGTTCATTTCGCCCGATTTTGGAGGTTTTCCTCCATCCAGTGCAGTCAGTACTAATGAGTGGCTTCCTGCAGTTTCTCGATCTAAAGGTTTTTGAACAACTAATATCGGTAATTTACCGTCTTCTCCTCTATTCTTAACTTCAAGACGGAAATGATCGTTTTGACTTAGTTTATATTGCTGCACGGAGAAATGACCGCTGTCTGGATCACGTGATGGTTTCAATTGAAATCGTGCTCCGGGCAACACGGACTCCGAAATCTCTAAGCGTGTCGCTTCATCCGAGAAAGTGGGACCGTGGTCATTTATATCCAAGACCTCCACTTCAACATAATGCACTTCGAGAGGATTTTCTAGCACAGTTTTCAGATTAATTAAGCACGTACTGATTGTCGCGCACACCTCTTCTCGGTCAATCTTTCGGCTCACATACAGGACACCATCATTCTGATTTACATGGAAAAGAGGATCGGCATTACTTGAAACAATGCGATACTTCCTTTCCTTCAGTGTGCTTTTATCCAGTCCAAGATCTTTCGCTATATTTCCAACCACAGTTCCTTCGTTAACTTCCTCAGAGATGGAATATCGTGATTGCGCTGAGACCGCGCTCCAAAAAAGCACAACAACCATCCAGCCGACCAATAATCCTCTCGCCCTCTGTGGCTTGTATTTTCTTTGTTCCATGGTTAAACCCGAAAACTGTCAGTGATCCATAACAATAAAAGCAATAATAAAAAGACTAGCGCTATTCCATATTCACTTTCTCACGTATCCGTCAATGGCATCGTGTCCTACAACAATAAGCTGAGAAACGGCTGAACAAAAATCAAAGAAAATGTAGACAAGAGGTGGAACCAAAATATGATGACGACGAGCTCAGTTATTCTCGACTTTTTACGTTACACTGACACCACGCGACCACAGGTCTAACCGCAGAACAGTAAAAGTGGATGCAAACATTTGAATCAAAAGCTTATTTGGTTTGAAGCTTCATTGAATCTCTTACCAAATGGCATCGAGTATTTTGTTGGTGACAAGGCTCCCTTGCAATTAGCCACACAACTCACAAAACAGGTGAAATTACATGAGCAATGTATAATTATTTAAAATAACATTATCGAATATTATGCATTTTTACTGATTACAGTAGTTGAGTGATTGAGAAAATGGACTTTCGTGGTGTAACGTTATATAAGATATACTGAATGTTTTGACCGAATACTTTCAGGACCATGGACAGTGACTACCGCAGTCTCCATATTTTCTAACTTTTTGTGAAAGTATTGCATTAATTTAAGTTCATCATACAACAATAAAACACCATCCACCATCATATTTCTTTCTTGTGTTAACAAGTGGTGCCATTTTCTATGTGCGACTGAACTAAAAACAAAAAACTTTAATTCACAAGTAAAAATAAGGGAACCCTAACGTTTAGGACAATGATTTAAAAAAAAAAAAGTATATTCGATGATCGGAGTTCCTACGAAAATAAATTCCATTCATACTTGGAGAGAAAATACAGTTTCATAACGGTTTGTTTAATAAATAATTTGCAACGCACATTTAAAAATAAAAAAGGAGCCCAATTCAAAATTGAGGATTTATGAATGATTAAATAATGATTTATTGAAATGAATCATTATTTTTCCAACGCAATTGACTGGAGAAACCAGATAAGTGAGAAAATCAACTGTGAACACATTATCTACAAACGAAAATAGTAAAAAATAAACTAGGCCACCTCAAAGTGTTTAAATAAATGTCTTACCTCTCCATGTGTCCTCCTGTCAGGGAGCATCAGTGTATTCGCATGGCTTCCCGGGACTATAGTAGATCCTATACTCATTCTGGGTCCAACTAACATGTAGCGTTTCTCTCCAGATCTGTACTGGATGCTGTGACACAGTGTCCCGTCATAATTAGTCTCTTGTAGATATTTAGAAGTATACTCTGTGGATTTAGAGCACTGCATTGCAATCAGCACGATGATACTGATGAGAAAAAGTGTTGAAACTGAGCCCAAAGTTATCATCAGGTAAAAAGTCACGTTATTATCCTCCTCGTCATTTGTTGCACTTTTAACATCCGAAGCAGCAAAAGCCTCTTTGGGCTCCACAACTTTGACAATCACAGTAGCTGTTGCTGAGAGTGAAACGTTCCCGTTGTCTTTCACCAGTATGACCAGTTTATGCTCAGCCTCGTCCGTCTCTGTGAACGAGCGAAGTGTTCTGATCTGTCCTGTATAGCGGTCCAACCCAAAGAGACTGTGGTCAGTAACTTCCTGCAGTGAAAACAGTAACCAGCCGTTATATCCTATATCAGCGTCATAGGCTCTGACTTTAGTCACCAAGTGTCCTGCGTTCACATTGCGGGGAATCTCCTCCACACCTTCAGCAGATCCGTTAGAGCTGAGAGGATACAAGATGATCGGAGCGTTGTCGTTCTGATCCAGAATGAACACGTGCACCGTGACGTTGTTGCTCAGTGACGGAGTCCCAGAATCTGTGGCGACAACTTGAAACTGGAACGTTTTCAGGGTTTCGAAGTCAAAACTTTTAAGAGCCAAAATATCTCCATTTTCAGAGTTGACGTTGATGAACGATGTCACTTTATTTCCAAAGCCCGCAGTCCTGAGAATATGATACGAAATTTGTGCATTATCGCCCTCGTCACAATCAGACGCTCTGACAGAAAAAAGAGGTGCCGCCGGGGGGTTATTTTCTATAATGTAGAACATATAGGGGCTCACTGAAAACGTAGGACTGTTATCATTCACATCCGACACAAACACGCTTATAGTCTTTTCCGATGCCAATGCTGGTTCACCTGCGTCTTTGGCGATTATTGTAATATCATATATCGAT